CTCAGATGGTGTTTATGTGTTAATTCCCAGCTCCCGGTCACGTTAGTCTTTTATGTAGGAGTGGTAAATGTAGCCAATACAAATTTGCCAAAGCTACAGCAGAAGGTGTTTGTTTTCTAGCCTCATCTTGGTTTCCTTCTCATCACTAATCTCACCTCCTTTCCTTAGTGCTCCTTCCCCATCTCCCTATTCACCCAAAGCCCAGAAATTAAATAAAACAGTAAATAATTCCCGTGAAAGGTGCCTTCCTGGTACTGTCTAAAACAAACACCGTCTTCTGTTGGGGCATTTGAACCACCCCCAGCATTCTTACTTAGATTAAATCGTGGGTCTCCTGGTCTCCAGGCATGCCTAGACATGAACCATAAAGGGAACGAGATCCGTGGAGTTTCTCTAGTAACTGCCGGCCACATCAACAGCAACCCCGAGAACAAGCATTCTTTAAAACAGACACACACAGAGCCAGGCCACACATATTCTCCTCATTATTGAACTGCTTTAGTTGTACTATCCACAAGATAAATGGCATTTTAAAAATTTATTTCAGTAGAAAATGCATCCTGATGACTTTTATATCTATGTTTTCTTTATTTTTTATTATATTTGAAGAGAAGTTTTAAAAAATCTAAATTTCAAGGCATCTCCTGCAACTCATGCCTTGGATGAGAGCAACCCAGCTCAGGTAAGACGTGCAAGATGCAACTAAAAATCATAAAACATCAACCAGGAAGAGGTAGTAAATCTTGTAGTAGGAAAAATGACTAGCCATTCGAAAGAACAGATTTGTTTTTGTAACTGTGACCTAATCAAGACTTAAAAGTCGGCCTATTGCTAATGGAATGGCGGGTATTCGGCTCCTGATTTTATTCATGTATGTCTATTTAACTGTAAAATACAAACTTGGCTCTACAGTTATCTCTAGAGAGCTCAGAGGTTAATTAGCTATGATTTCAGTGTGTTGCTTGGTATGGCTTAGTTTATTGTACATTTCAAAGGAATACAAGGGATTGTGTAGTGTGTTCTACAATATTGTGCCTCTCCCCAAAATAAGATGGACACAAATTACAGTGAGTTGTAAATGACTTGTGTTTTGCATTTTAACTTAGCAGGTTAATTTTTACGTTCATGTTTTCTGTACTGTACATTTTATACTTCATTTTGGTTTCTTACTCTTCACTTTGGTGTTCACAGAACAAAGAATAAACTTAGCAAAAATACTTGTATATTCAAAGATCATACTGTAACTTAAACTTATCCTTGGGAAGTCCTGGCATTTTAATAGTGTGGGTTTGGAATGTGTGTTGATAAATTTCACAGGACTCCATGGCTAGCACTTGCGGGAGGCCTCCTTTCCATGTTATTGATGGCACCTATGAGACCATTTGCTGGTTTCGGGAATCGGTCTGTAGCTGGGAAGCTTATTTTGGTGGAAAATAATTTAGAACTAGGCTTTCAGGGTCAACAGGGAGTGCATTATGCTGGGTTCATGAAGTCTATATTGGGGGGTGGGGAACTTCCAATTGAGTTCCACACAGGGTGTAATCAGAAAATATGCTTTATCTTCTTCTGACTCATTTATTGAAGGGAAAGGGGGGAAGGAGTGACTAAAGGAAACAATTATTAGTGAAGGTCTACCAGAAATCCTCTCTAACTGTCCTCTTTGCCCCATCTACTCCAAACACACACACATAAACACATCTCCGTCATCAAATGTGAAATTGTGAGAATAAGAAAATGGAACTGGTCACAAGACATTGCTTCTCTGGCCTTCACAGCCCTCACCCTGAATGTCCAAACTGAGTCTTATTTCAAGTGCCTGCCCCATGAACCTTCCCTGACCAATCACAGTTCTCAATGTCCCACCCTACTCCCTTCTGTCTCTACCCAGTTTAGCGATTGATTGTATACTGTCTCCAAAGGTAACTACGTTCACTTTTTTGTTGCCACCTATGACTTTGGGGGCTGAACACATAACTGGTATTTAAATAAAGATGTGCTGGAAGTAGGAAGCGTTTTGCCTCTCATGGGTCTTGAGAGTGTAAAACCGTGGCCTTGATCTCATGAGGGCCAGACTTTGATGTAAGTAACAAGCTTCCTGGCTCCCTTTTTGACTAAAGATCAGCCTTCCACCTCACCCCATGGCCCTCCCAGCGTTTAAGGGGCACACAGAGTGCAGATGAAACCCTCAAAGCCATTCCTCCGCCCAGTGGCAGGGTCCAGGCCTACGTATCTCCATTTGGAAAAGTCAGCCTTCAGTTTGGTACCAGGCCCGCTGTCATCCCGAATGGGGATGGGCATGAAAGGGGGCTCCTGGGGCTTCTTGGGGGGGGGGGGGGGAGCTCTTAGTCCCCCCAGTCTCATCAGGTAGAGGAACTTTTTAAGGAGCTGTGCCTGGGTCTCCCGGCCTCTTCCCTCCCTCCGGGGCCGCCACCCGCCCCTTCTCAGCTCCCTTCGCGCCCTCCCGGCCCCTCCCCCACCAGCCCCGCGTGCCCGCCCCGCCCCCGCCCCGCGGGGTTCCGAGGGCCGTTGGCTCGCCGCGGCCACGGCCACAATCACTTGGCGGCTCGGAGCTGCGGGGCGCACGGGGTTGGGAGCCGGCTCTGGGGTCTGGGCTGGGAACCGTAGAGAAGTCGTCGGGCCGCCCGGGAGTGAGGGCGGTGGGAGCCGCGGGAGGAAGCGCAGGGGCCGGGAGAAGAGACGGGAACCTAGAGGAGGCCCTGGGCGGTGCGGGAGGCTGCGGGGCGGCGGAGCCGGGCAGCCGGACTCTGCGGCAGAGGTGAAGCCGGCCGGCCGGGCGCTCCCGGGAGCCCCCTGGAGTTGGGGGGCCCGGCCCGGGAGGTGCGGGTCCCCTCTGGAGCGCCGCCCGCTGGCCGTGCCACCCGAGGTGTGTGTATGCGGCGAGTCCTGCGGGACAGCGCAGCCTGCGAGCCGGGCTGGGGTCCCAGGTGGGTCCCTGGCGGCTCCGGTGGCGTCGTCCCGAGAGCCCCCCCGGGCCTCGCGCCCGGGCACTGCGGGCATGGCCCGGGGGAAGTGTGGGCGGTCGAGGCGGGTGGCGATCGCGGGCCGCCGGCTCGGGGACCCCGCGTGGGCGCTGCGGACCGCCCGGAGCTGCGCCTGCGGGCGCCGGTGCTCGGTTTGCAGGCAGTGTAATTAGCTGATTGTGCTCTGTGCTGGCAATCACTAACTCCACTGCCATCAAAACAAGGCACAGCATCGCCGCCGCCGGGAGGAGAGGACGCCGCGCAGCGGCCCAGGGCCAACCCCAAGCGCTGGAGCAGAGCGGGCTGCGCTTTGAGATCTGATGCGTCAGCATTTGATGGGCCTGGCGCTGCTTGGCGAGCAAGTTGTCCAAGTGCCAGGAAAGCCCTGAAAATTGGGGGGGAGAGGGGGGAAGGGGGGCTGCTGCTTCTAGATACACTTAAACTGTTCCCCTTTCTAAGAGTAAAAGCAAGATTATGCAATCCCATGTGAGGAAAGTGAAATATGTGGGATTTAATGGCTTTAACTGTAAGGTACAGACTTTTAAGCCGCTGGGAGGACCCCCACCCCCCACCCCCGCCCCATGTAACGACGTTTAATGCTGCATAGCTGTGATTAATCGTGCCGATTTTTCATTACTTAGTAGGGCATTCACACACCCACCAACTCAAGTGAGCTACAGCTGAGCCAACGGCGTACCCGTCACAAAGCCTGGGCGCCAACTTGAGACGCAGTTTGTGATGAAAGGAGACTGTTTTCTGTGAGTCTGGTTACTAGGCAGTGTAGTTAGCTGATTGCTAGCAGTACCAATCACTAACTACACGGCCAAGTAAAAAGATTTGGGGCTTCATCCGAAGGAGGCGCCTGTGCACATCCATGGACTTGGGGGAGGTGGGGTTGGAACACGGAAATATTGCCAGTTCTCTCAGCCAAGAGAGAACTCAACATTTTAGCTGCTAAATATATGTTTGTAATGAAGTATATGTGTATTTTCATATAAAAATTTTCAGTATTTCATCAGGCTCTTAACCCAAAAAAAATTTCAGGTAGATTGGGTAATGGTATAGATTTGTGATGATCAACCTTTGAAGTATCTTTTCCATGAGACTATACTAGTGTTTTGAAAGAATAAAGTGCCATGCCGACATAGATTGCCATCGGCGCGTGTTCATTTCCTAAGTTGCCTTTATGAGGATCATCTCAATTCCTGTCACAGTAATTACAACTTTCCTATCTCTGAAATGGTTAAATTGTTCCTAGATTAACAACATCTCCCAGGAAAGCTATTCACAAGCACTTGTTAATATTTCTGTAAGACTACATTAACAAAATTTTTATTTTTCATGAAAGGACTGAGTCCACTCATCAGACGTCTTTAAATAATCATTTACACTGTTGCAATCTAGGCAGCCTTTAGGGGACCCATGAGTAAATGCAGTTAATCTAAATCCAGCTTCTTTCCTAAGATTTGTCTTAAGGGATGGGGGTAGGGGAGAGAGAATTATAACAAAAATTATATACATGGGTACCCATTGCCCCAGTTTAGACCTCTAGCTCCCAATAGAATGGGATCTGCCCTATTTAATTCTCCAACCAAAGCTGGCCTGTAATGAGCTATGACAGTTGGTGTGGAAGGGGGAATTGGGGCGGTAGGGCTAAGGAATAGAAAGCTTTATTGGGATATCTTTGGGGGAATGGAAGCTGGAGACTAGGGGAGGCAGGTAGAAGGCTGACCCACAATATGAGCGCTGAAGTGCTTCCCCACTGACCCCAACAGGACAAGACACGCCCCCAGTTGATGTTTTGACTCTCCTATCTGGACTCCATCTAAGACTGGTCCCGAAGCCTGCGGTCACTACGGAAGTGGGCTTCAGAGGGCCCACCCATGCGCGCTGGACCTCAGCATCTACGGAGGAAACTAAGGGTTTCCGGCCTGGCCTGTTGCTGCCAACTTGAAGGTTCTCTGAGAGGCGGGGCTGGGAGAGGGGCCAGGGGAGCTTGGAGAAGCGTCCTCAGTTGCCATGGAAACAAGGCCTGGTGCAGGTCCTAGCCCTGGAAAGAAGTCCTGTGGAATTTATCCCCAGGGATTATTAGTATTCAGTGGCTCCTCAGAAAAGGACACCAGCTTGGCCAAGCAGTTTTGGATCACGGCGTCAATGTATCCGCCTAACGAATCCCAGTTGGTGCTGTCGGGCAGTAGCAGTCAGCGTCTGCCCGTGGCCAGGTCCTCTAAGAGCAGCACCCTTGGTGAGTAGCTGCCTCCAGTTCATCCTGTCTACCTCCACCTCTCCACCTCAGTCAACATGGAAGATACCAGAGCCCCTCCCAGGAGAAACTGCTGAACATAATGCTTTTTCTTTCTTTCCATGATGGTTGACAGTCAATATTAGTTTCAGGTGTACAGTGTTGTGATGACACACTTATATCACTTCGTAAAAGTGATCCCACCAACACAAGTCTAGTACCCGTCATAGTTATTACATTCTTCTTCACTATATTCCCTATGCTTTCCTTTACAGCCTTGGCTGTTTTTATAACTGGCAATTTGTACTTTCCAACCCCTTCCCCTTTTTCATCCATCCCCTAACACTCCTCCCATCTGGCAATCATCAGTTAGTTTTCTGTATCTATGAGTTTGTTTCTGTTTTGTCTGTTCACTTATTTTGTGCTTTAGATTCTACATGTAAGTGAAGTCATATGGTTCTGTCTTTCTCTGACTTATTTCACTTAGCATCATACTTTCGAGGTCCATCCATGTTGCCCCAAATGGCAAGATTTCATTATTTTTTTATGGCTAATATCCCATTGTATATATGTACCACAACTTTATCCATGCATCTATCAAATTTAATTCTAAAATAAGAATCTTTCATTTGACATGTCTAAAACCCTATGCAAATAGTTCTTAAAACTTCTCATCAATTCTTCTACCCAAAAGGATCAGTGGTGTCTTTGTTATATCTAAAAGTACATCAAAGTATCCTCTATAGCAGTGGTCAGCAAACTGCGGCTCGCGAGCCACATGCGGCTCTTTGGCCCCTTGAGTGTGGCCACGCGTTTCAATCACATTGTACATGTGCACCTGCACGTGGTATTTTGTGGAAGAGCCACACTCAAGGGGCTGCAGTTTGCCGACCACTGCTCTATAACATCTATTTGGCCAAAGGGTATATAGAAGCATCTGGGGAAATGTTATTGTACCTTGGCTGAAAGGATATTAAGAACAACCATTTAGCCCTAGCTGGTTTGGCTCAGTGGATAGAGCGTTGGCCTTCAGACTGAAGGGTCCCGGGTTGGATTCCAGTCAGGGCCACATGCCTGGATTGCAGGCTCAATTCCCAGTAGGGGGTGTGCAGGAGGCAGCTGATCGATGATTCTCACTCGTCATTGATGTTTCTACCTCTCTCTCCCTCTCCCTTCTTCTCTGAAATCAATTTAAAAAAATTTTAAATAGTCATTTACATAATTGAGTTCAAACATGAAATCCCTAGTGAAAGTTGAAGACAGAGTTAACATTAGGAACCAAGTTCCTGGCCTGTAAGACCTTAGTAAGGCCTAAGGAAACTATTTTTATAGGTATAGAAAGCTTAAATACCTTTAATGCTGTTGTTTTCTAATGACATATTCTTTTGTTAATTTTAGAGAAAAGTTTCTTGCGGTCTCTTTCTCTTGAGAAAAACAGTAAGTATCAAGTTTTATGCCTCTCAACATTCTGATTCCTAGATTAAGAAAATGCAAAGTATAAAGATACAACTTTATACTTTGGCATAACTCTGCCTCGGGAACCACCCTATTTACTCAGAGGAAAATGCCTCATTTCCTATAACATCTTGAATAGAGATGTGGGAATTGGAATCTCTGATATCAAATACCTTTTTCTTGTCTCTGGACTCAAGTGTACTCATCTTCTAAAGATTAGAGGTTTTCTGGAGCCATAGCTAATTAATTCCATCTCTATTTATGAATCTGGTTTATAAAGTTTTAAGACATAGTACATATTTGTGTTTACCTTCATACTCTATGTATTAACTTTTAATCTTTATGCAATTTTATATCAATATTATTGTAAAATCAAGATAAAATTATTTCAGATGGAATATGACTTTATTTTCTTTAGAGGGAACAGATGCCATTGATGAAACCCTAAAGATGGAGGAGAAAAAAAAGTATCTGGAAAAGGTAGGTCAACATTTCAGAAGGTCATCTGATTTTCATTAAGCTTTTTAAATAATCCCAATTATTCTTTTTTAACATCTGTATGTAAAATTTTTCTACATCTGTATGTCTGCTTGAGCAAATAGAAAACTTTTGCTAGAATTTTAATTGAAGATTAAAAAATTCTATTAAACTTGCTATTCTCAGTCTCTGCAAAAGCCCAAGGATGTATAGGAACACAGAATTAGAGGGAAATGGAGAAAAATGGATTCACATACTTTCCCTCCAATAAGGTCCCGAACCATATACAATGTCTTAAGAACAGAAATATTATAAAATCAGGGAAAACTGAATATGACTATCTTAATAGATCAAAATTAAAAGAACAGAGGAATGAGTCTGTCCCCATTTCCACTAAGGGCTGAAATTACTCAGTGAACACACTGATGTTGTCAAATCAACTAGACAATTCTCTTTTTGGCAATATCTTTTGTTTGCTTTTCATGATGTGGGCACAGCCTTTAAGTCAGCAATTAATACAGTGATTTATAGAAATACTTTATTTAGTTAATGGATAAATTCCATTCCTGTAACTGTTTCTGTACTCTAAAGGCAAAGACAGAGGATTTGTTTTGGCCTAATGTCTTTAATCATTGCACATATTGGCAAACTCTGAAAGACTTATCGGGAATTCTGCATAAATTACAAAACAATGCATTTGAGTTTGCTGATCACATTAATTCTCTTTGTGGACTATTGCTGATTCCTCCAAACAAATTAGGTAATTAGAAACAGTCAGCATTTTCTTCTCTCTCGAGGATATTAGGTACAGTATATTTATACTAGGACTTAAAGTGAGGGAAGGAGCCTCATTTTCATTGAGGCAAAAATCATTAAAAATCTATTTCTTCAGCACTTTTGGAGTTACGGTTTCATTTAATATCATTTTGGAAGGGATTAGAAATAAAATGTTAAAGATACACTATTATCAGTTTTTAATCTTTTGTCAAACAATTAAGACAATATGGTACAAGCTACTGGTGGATATTCTGCTAATGGACTATTACATTAGTATCTTAGAACCGGTTTCCTTGCCCCAGGTTCTTCTATTAACTTATGAATTATTAATTCCACAGGTATTTATTGAGAGCCTCCTCTATGCCAAGTACAGTACTAGATGCTGGGAATGCAAAGATAAAATGTGGTTCCTGATCTCAAGGAGTTTACAATCTAGTGGGGGAAATAACTAATTAAAGTCAAGAATTATGATACATTATTATGATAGATGTATTCACATGATACTATGGGAACATGTTGAAGGACATTAAAATCAAGCTTAAGGAATCAAGAACTCTTCTCAGAGCAGCTGGGTTTCAAAGAATGTATAGAGTTGACCAGACAAAAAATATGCAAAACAATTCTCTGCACTGCACTAGTTATCTTCCCAAATCCCAAATCCAATCATGCTGATGTCCTGCTGTATTAGTCTGCTGGGGATGCCCTAACAAAATAGCACAGACCGAGTGGCTTAAACAATAGAACTTCATCTTCTCAGTTCTAGAGGCTGGAAGTCAGGGATCAAAGTGCAAACAGGGTGGGTTTCTGCTAAAGTCTCTCTGCCTGGCTTATCGATGGCCACCTTCTTGCTATGTCCTCACAAGGCAGAGGGAGAGCTCTGGTGTCTCTTCTTATAAGGTCACATCTTACCACATTAGGGCCCCACCCTTATTACCTTCCTAAAGGCCTTATCTCCAAATACAGTTACACTGAGGGGAGGGGGAGGGCCTCAACATAGGGACTTGAGAGGGATACAGTGCAGTCCATGCACCTACTGTCATTCTTTTCCATGGCTCTCCACATCTGCGGGGTCAAGACCAAGCCCTTCAACATGGCATTCAAGTTCCTTTCCAATCTGACCATGACCTGACTGACTTCTCCTGCTACTATCTTCCTTCCCTTGTACCCCTCCCCCATTCCCAATGTACCTACTCTCTGCAGTTGGTTCTCAACCACCAGGCTAGGCCACATAATACACCCCTCCCCATATGTGCTACCAGAGTGGTGACTGGGTAATTTTTGCTAAACCTAAACAAACACATTATTCTGTATATCTGCCAAACTATACATTTAATCAAGTGGGTCTTGCAATGCAGTATAGAAAATTATGTTTTGGAGAGTAGAAGAGGCCTAACAAAACAGCAATCCAGCAGAAAAGAAAGAGAATATTGCTGAAACTGTGCCTGGTGGGTATATAGGAGAGTTTAGTTAATACTGTGTACAGTACAGTTCTCTTCCTACAGTGCCATGGTGCAAAAAGTGACCAAGAGAATCCTGCAATGACTGAATGTATTACTGGGATGTAGCATCCTAACAGCCAATTTAGTGAGTCGATGCTAAGCAGTTTACATGTATCTACTCATATTCTCCTTAAAACAACCTCATGATGGGTATCCCCGGTTAACCAAACAAAGCTTCCTAGTAAATGATTTCCCAAAGGTCCCACAACCAGGAAGTGGCAGGCCTCAATTCAAAGCCTGCGTCCTAACTCCAGCCCATGCATTCATTGTGCTGTAATGACTGCGGGCCATGGCATTGTTCAGGCATGCTTCCAAATATTCTAAAATTCCAAACTAAAGTATGAAAACAAGTGTGGGACATCTTTCCCAGCCCCGCAGTACTATAAGCTGTTTCTTCAACCTGCAATGCACTTTTATGTCTCTTCCTGTAATTCTCCTCCCCATTTATCTTCAAGATCACGCTCAAATGCCCCTTCTCTGTGAAGCCTTCCCAGCGTGGCCTCGAGACTAGCACAAGAGCTTCCTTCTCTCTGCTTCCAGAGCAAGGGCCGTATGCCTCTCTCCTGGGGTTTGTCACAGTCTCTTATCTGTGTTGCAGCTACTTGTGCATGTTTCTGTCTTTCCCTCTAGATTACAAGCCCATAGCGTAGTGAGCTTTGGAGACAAAGTGTTTTGGAAGTTGAACTCTGCCACTTACTATTTGTGTGACTTTGAGCAACCTGTTAAACACCCACGAGGCCCAGCTTCCTCTGATATAAAAGGAGAAATGGTAAAAAATATCCACCTCAGAGTTGATATAAGATGCAAAGTGCTTGGCCATAGTTTTCCCTCAACAAATGTTAATTTTCTTCTCTTCTATGAGGACAGAAGTTATTTCTTATTTGCTTCACCCCATGCCTTTCCAGATACTGAAACTCAAATATTTTTTGATTGAATAAATAAATACATAATTGAAGTAATAAATGAATGAAAGTATGCTCTCTACAGTCATATTTCCATTTTGTTTAGCCTTAAAACATATATTCATCAGGAAATTTTTCTAGAATGATAATTTTTGCAAGAATGTTCCCAAAAGCTAATCTGTTTGCAAGCCTGCTTTAGTAGGACCATTTCTAGCACCTCACCTCTTTTCTTGGTTTTGTTTGTATCTCAGTCTATATATGATGAGAGGAAAGATGACCCCCTGTAATTACTAAAACATAAAATCTATTTCGGGTACAACTGTTTTTCTAAGTGCATAGTACTCTCTCTGCATTGCTACCACCATTATTCTAGAATTTTTAGCTTGATGACAGAAAGTAAATGGGAGTAGAAGTTCTTTTAAAACATTTACAATAATCTATTTGAGAAAATCTTATACATGTTTTGAACATATACATGATAAGTACATTCCTGGAATAATATTCATTTTAAAATGGGAAATAATATTTCCCATCAATTCTCTTAAAGGTTTTTTTTTTTTTCTTCCACTATCTCCTTAAAATTAACGAAAATCTAAAAATGTATTTTCCATCTCTCTTAAAAGTACCTTTATGGCTTTCTCTCCTCAACTGATATTGATTTTTCAGTTGTTGAAATTTTTTGAAACTTTAATGTTATCCTCCATTTTGGAATATTTTCCAGGTATACATTATAAATGTTTTTGGTTAGTGGACAAAATGCTATTAATCACTTCTATTTCTGTGATGGATGTCCATGGCAGGAAATCAAAAACAATTGTGTCTGTCAAGATTAGATGGCTTACTCTGCCCATAAAGGAAACCTGATAGCACTATATGGACCATTATTCTACCTCTGAGAGTTCTAAAGTAGTCTGAAAACATTCTAATAAATGAATAGTCAGCTAATTCTTTGAAATCATAAAACTAATTTGCTTTCTAGTTTTGCCACCTTTTTAATGATTATCTCTTTATGAAAAGAATTATAAATGATGCATTTGCTTGGAGAAGGAAGAAGAGATCAGAGCAGTATTTTAAGGCACATATATAGATGACATATTTGGAAATATCCACCTGGAATCAAAGTTTTAGCATGAGTAAATATAAAATCCTTTTACAAGGAAATTATTCAGTCTGCATATCAATATCTCAGATAAACCCTTTATTGGGAATGGGGGTTTAACCTGTCCTTTCACCCAACCTATGCAACCAGTACTGTAAGTCTAAACCAAAAGTGAGTTTTCTATCTGTTATTTCCAAATTGCACTATGATAAGAGTATTCTTTGAAGAAGAATAAGAAGAAGATAAGAGTATTCTTTGAAGAAGAAGAATCTATGAGGCTTCACAGGGTGTTTTCTTAGGCATGGAAGCATGAAAGTGGAAATAAAATTTTAATGTTATTCTTTGTTATCCTACACCAAGCATGTCAAACTCAAAGGCTAACATGGGCCAAATAAATAAGGTTTAAGTTTATGTGGGCTGCAAAAAAAACAAAGGCTTCAATTTTCATAGAAACATAGGTTTATTTCGATAGAGACATGCTGAATACAAAGACCTGAAATAAATTAGTAATCATTAACATAATAGAACATTTTAATAAAAGTTAATATTTTTTCTTAAACATTAACTTACCAGACACTGACTAACACACAAATTAATAAGCATAACACAAATAAACCTATTTTTCTTGTTCTCCAAAAGCGAAGTATTTCCTGTTGCACACACCAAATAGGTCAGTCCAAGACTAATGACGTGGCAATCGGCTGCTAAAATATTCACTGCTAATAT